CCCAAAACCCCAAAACCCCAAAACCCCAAAACCCCGAGTTTTTTGTGAAAAATTGAATGGAAGTTTAGGCGAGGAATTTAGTGCCGAGTTTTTTCATGAGGGCGAGAGCTTTGTGTTTCTGGGCCTTGCGGTATTCTTGGACGGATTCTTTTGCGAAATTATCCATTGATTTGAAGTTCACAACTAGCTCTTTCTCCCTGTACCGGTGTTCAAAGTACGACCTAACTTTGCTAGAATTTCCGATTTTCTGAATGGAATCACCTAAAGATGTCATAAGGCAAGATACCTAAAGGAGCTTTCTCATATTGCTCAATGCTTTTAATGAAGTCAGAATCGATATCTAGCTTATTTTCAAGTATTTTCCTCACAATTCTAGGCATCTTACACAAACTTTGACTTGAGGTTTCATGCTTTTCTTTCACAAGAGAGGGAAATAAGGCATCTTTAGACCGGTGAATGTTGGTCTTAAACCCAAAACTAACTTTTCCTACTTTCTTCTGAGTCTGCTCAGCTATAGGAGAATCCTTTCCTTTCTTACTTCATTCATCCTCACTTAGTTTTACAAATTTGTTATCTTCCTTAAGCTCTCTAGTCACCGGAGAAAGATTGGATGAAGGTATGACATTATGACTTTCAACTTTCTTCAAGCTGAGATCGACCTTTGGCTCTTGCTTACCTTTGATCTCATCAAAATGTTTATTTTGGGCCAGCATTGGCATTTGAGTTACCAACACAGAGTTTCTGGAATCAAGTTTATTTTTCAAAACAATAGCACTTTGGGTGGCTTTCTTTGGCATACTATGCATTCTCTTCATCTTATTCGAATTCTTCAGTGCATCAGAATGTTTGAAAGAGATTAAGGGGTGAATCTTGGGCATATATTGTTCTTCTTTCAAATGATCAAGCACTAAGGTATCATAAATTTCATCTATGTCTTTGTCATACCAAACTTCGGTATTGAATTCAACTAATTTCTGAAAGTCATCATAGATTTTATGAACCACTTCCTCTTTGTAGTTCAGATTGTCTTTCAAACTGGTTGATTTACTCTGTAAACTCATTCATTTATCAATAATTTGGTGATTCAGCTTCATATTCGCCTTGTTCTTTGCACTTGCACTATGAGTAATTCCACCATAACTTACTTTGCAGTATGAAAGGTGGCTGAAAGAGACCTCATCAATGCAGGATTTTTGGGCTCCTCTCCAGCTTCATCACCAAGAGAGAGTAACAACATCTTACCGTTCCTATTTTTAACATTGTTTGATTGTCTCTTGCTCGAAAGTGCGTTATTTCAAAGAATGCTTTAAATCAGCTTGCTTACTGACTTCATCCTTGACACGTTTAGAGTAGTCGACAATATTATTGATATCCTTATCCAATTTGTTCTTTATTATCTCCATGTTAGCCGAATCCATTTTCTTGGACTTGAACAACTTGCCTTTCTTTCTCTCAAATTCCAGTTGGTTCGGATTATTTAATTTTCTTGCCAGCAAGGTTAGTGTCAATTTTAGCCTTGGACTGATGAACTCTCTGCTCTTTCTTCTTATTTAGCTTCGTCTTAATCTTCTTCAAAGATGGTAGCTCAAGTTTTCCTTCCTAAAACGCTGAGAATTTCCTTAAAGCGTAGAATTGTATGAAATACCTCTAATTTCATATCCTGAAGAATGCTTTGAACCAAAGCAGATTTTATTTGTGTGGAATCAACAGTGGGCTTTTCTTTCCGTTTCTCCTCAATGGCATCAATGAGGAGCATTGGATCAAAATCTGTAGATGAAGATGAGGTGATTACCTCCGAGATCTCTAGAGTCTTTTATTTTTCCTTTAATTCTGATATTCCTGGCAGATTCCTCAAGGAGTTTTTCTTTAGCAGTAAGAACTTTGTGCTTGCCTAATTTCTTAAGATCAATATCTTCAATTTCTAAAGAAATTATTAGAATATCACTGTTGTTAAGATTAATAAGAAGCTTACCAGTTGCTAAACCTTTCATCATTTTGTTAAAATGTTGACTCGGCTCTCCTTTGAAAGTTAGAAACTGCTTCTGATCCCTTGATTTGTACTTAGAAGAAGGGGGATTTCTTCCATCTAAAATAGTGCTTCTCAAGCTGTGCATTGAAGTTTGAGAGCTATTCTTCAAACTCTGCATTCTCCAGGTTCCTTCTCCAGCAGTGACTCTCAAAGAGTTGCCAGCTTTCTTGGATGATCTCCCTTGATTATGGGACCTGCCTTGTCTCGTCTGTCCGTTCATGGCCGATTGTGTTGACATATAATAATTTTTCAATAAGAAATTGTCGAACAGGGGTTTTGGGGTTTTGGGGTTTTGGGGTTTTGGGG